TTTCTACATTACTAATTCTGACGTTTGTTAATTAAATTACTGAGTTAAATTTTTAGGAATTTACGTTTGTAGTCAAATTTAGATACAGTTTCCTTATGTTCACTTGTTGAGAATGCTAAGCGTCGTTTAATCACTGCTGACACCTCTACAATATTGAAATATTATATTAATTTTATACTCAGCAAGTGGCGTACATGAGAGAAAAACCGAGAGTAGAGTTTACAGATAACACCCTGTATAAATTATAATTGGACTTAAATTCTGAAATAAAACATATGAAAAGTGCGAGTAAAATTTGTCACGGAAGCATGAGTGCGTCACATGTGGGAGACGTTGTAAAGGGTTAAATGCAAAATGATGTAAGTTTCTCAAGTTGTATTACAATCAGTAAAAGTTGAAGACATAAAGGTTGAACTACAGAAACCAATTTCAATTATTTCGTGTACACGACTGTTAGTGGCTGATTTATGCGGAATTCAAAACTAATTGGCCTCGCAGACGGCGTTGTCACCGAAACATCTAACGTTAGCCAAAGTAACGGTTTCCGAAGTATCCGGAATATTCCCAATTTCCGCCTAACCATATTCAATATCCGGATATCCAAACTTCGGATATCCGCAGTGCGCATTGCCGAAACGATCGTATCGGTGAACTATTCAAATAACGATGTAACTGTAACCTAACGTCCACCCCCTCGTCCTTTGCACCACCCAACTTTCCTAATAATTGATAATCGACATTCGCTGTGCTACAAATTTCACGCAATTTCCTGTGTGGTAGCCCAAACGTACCGGGCTAATTTCTACGGTTCCCTCCTCCAGCTGCCTTTGAACGTTTCTCGAATTCCACGAATAATATACTTATGTTGCGAAGCGAAGAATGCCTGCTTCCTGAAACTGCAGACATTCCGCGAAACGTGGAAATACATTTAAAAAGTAAAATACTTCTTCTGCTGTGGATATACTGAATTCCATGTATCGTGGTACAAAAAGAAACTGCTACTAACCATTTTATTAGTTAACTGCCAAATACTTATTTTAATTGCATGGATATATTCTTAGAAGATTTGGGAACTTTTGAAATTTGGATATTTCGAAAATAGGAAATTTGAGAATTCAGGAATTTAGAATTTTGGGGGTTTGAAAATTTTGCAAAATTTGAGAAATTAGGAATTTTAGAATTGGTGGATTTAAGAATTTAGAGGATTGGAGATTCAGAAAATTGTGAAACTGGATATTTGAGAATTGAAGGGATTCGAAATTCGGAAATTTGAGAATTTGGGGGATTGGAAATTCAGAAATTTGAGAATTTGGGGGATTGGAAATTCGGAAATTTGAGAATTTGGAGGATTGGAAATTTGGAAATTTGAGAATTTGGGGGATTGGAAATTTGGAAATTTGAGAATTTGGGGGATTGGAAATTCAGAAATTTGAGAATTCGGGGAATTGGAAATTCAGAAATTTGAGAATTTGGGGGATTGGAAATTTGGAAATTTGAGAATTTAGGGGATTGGAAATTTGGAAATTTGAGAATTTGGGGGATTGGAAATTCAGAAATTTGAGTATTTGGGGGATTGGAAATTTGTAAAATTGGAAATTTGAGTATGTTAGGGATTAGAAATTCGGAAATTTGAATAATTGAAAATTTGGGAATTTGGGCAAATCATAATTTAAAACTTTTAGTATTTCGATGTTTCGAAATGTATAAATTTGAGAGTGTAAAGATTTACACAGATTGAAAATTGATTCGCAAATTTTAAAATATGTAAATTTGAGAAGTTAGAAACTTACAAATCTACAAATTTCAAAATTTAAGAATTCGCCCATTTTTGAATTAGAAATTTGCGAATTTACCCATTACAAATTTGCAACCACAAAAATTACAGTTCTCAAGAATATATCAATTTCCAAATTTCAAGCTTGAGAATGTGAAAACTGGTATTTTATATAAGACCGTAAAATATACCGTATTGAACATACACACATTTTCAATATTAAAAGTTCTCATGATAAACGTTTTCATATTAAAAATACGCGATATACTAGCTCGTAAATATAAAAATAAAAAGCTGCACGAAACCCATTTCGACTATTGGCAGAATTTCGCTGTTTCATAGGGCAAACTTTGAGTAGCTGATTCAGGTGCGAACGAATGTCTCGTCGTGAATCAGAATTGCAGACATTAGCCCGATCGCGAGCTCGTTTCAAAGCGAGAGAACATTTATTGTTCGTATTCATCGCGCGTTACGATCGTTATCTTGTGCAGTGCTGAAAAGGCATACAGTTTTATAAAACACCGGTACAAATCATCCTGTCAAACGTGTTACGGGAGGGCTGTTTTTCAACCCCTCTGCTCGTTTCTACCATTGTTGCGCGTATATTATCGACGTATTTTGTTTGTATTTTGCAGTCACCGTAACATTCAGCTCGACGTGTCTGGCAGATATTGGTGTATCGACTGAGAATCGTTCATAAATCATCATTCTTTTCAGCTTTTTCATAAAGGAATTATGAAACTCGCGAAAAAGGAAACATGCAAGGGACTAATTCCTCTGCAGCGAATTGATTTTTCATCTGCTGTATCGACCATTTGACGTATTCGGAAAATTATGCTACAATAATCTTTAAGAAGATAGACATAAAGACTGTTATTTTATTCAGATAACAATTATATTTTGTTTATTTTTAAATTGTATATTATTAAATTTAGCAGTATATTTTACAGAAATTTCTTTTTCTAAAGAAAAAGTGAGCTGTAAATATCTTACACTATTTTGCATAATTTTTATATTGTTGAATATAAGTTACTCATATGTAACATATATTATTCACATGATGTATGATACGGAAATCGATTAAAATGATTATACAATCCAGACACATAAAATAAGTACTTTTAGTATTCAGTTAGTAATGTACATTAACAAATGACAAGATGAAACAGAAACTTGTTACATATATCTTTCACAAACAGTAATTAACTATCAAACAGTTTATTCACCAAAAAGAAAAAGAAACGAAAGAAAATAATTTTTTAAAAATTATTTTCAATATGGAACTAAAATATTCACCATCTCTAATTTTAACAAACATTAAATAATTAACGTATTTATTTAAAGGAAAAAAATGAGAGAAAATTCTACGTGCTTATAATACAGAGTCGCTAATGTACTTTCACAAATTAAAGATGAAACCGAAAAATTCACAATTTTTATATTTCGTGAACAGTAATTTATCTAGCAATGTATTTATCTACAGGAAGAATAAAGGAGAAAAAGTTCTAAACTTGCAAAATCGTGTCACTGATGTATTGATACATTACGTTGACTTCTACAGTGATAAGTGGTGTATGTGGTCAGACACTCTATATGACAGATTATTAAAAACATGGATACTCTTTCAACTTCATCTTTTAATCTGTTAATGTATATCGTAAGCAAGCCTTCACGTTGAAAGAACGGTACACAGTCAATGTTAAATATTCCTTTTGCTTGCTATACTTTTAAATAATTAATTTAACCGGATTTGAAGGAGTCGCCATCATGGCAGTCAACGTGTTAAAAATGAAACTAAGAAATTCGCTATCTGTATTTTTGATAAATAATAGACATAAACAAATAGACTACCACATATAGAATATCATAAATGCCCATATAAATATGTTAAATTTCATTAAATGTGTTAACAGCAGTAAATGTGTTAGCTTGCAGTGTCTAACCACCACTCGACCTAATCCCCTGAAAAACATCCAGTTAAAATAAAATCGTAAACACGCAATTCGCAACAAACATCAGGAAAAATAACTTGCAAGAGATCGTTCAATTAAACCGACAGGATTTTTAGCGTGCTTACGATAGCGTGACCGTTCATATCAAAATGAGTGTTATTTCAAAATTCGCCAGGCATTTCTCGTAATTGAGTCGTACGCCAGCGTGAAAGACAAGAGCCTGTTCCTCGACCAGAAAGGATAACACGATCTCAAATATCGCGTGCTGACCAATTTACATCCCCTACGAAGCCATTAAAGCTTGATCGTTATGCAAGTCATTTACGATTTCTTCTTCCTATCCGTGCCAGTCTAGCAATCTTCATATTTTGCAGTATTCCTTGCTTTCAACCGCTATTATCGCTTTCTAAAACGAGACAACTATTAATCTCCGCTGAAATTGCTTCGTTTCATTCTCTTTTTGTGTTGTCTCGCACGAAAGTTGTTCAATCAACATTTTTTAGTAGTTCAATAGATTTCAAAGATTATTTAGTTATTTGTGATTTGGTTTTTTGGATTGAAGTATTTTGCAATTCGTTCAAAATTTGAGAATTTTAATATTTAGAAATTTGAGGTTTGAAAATTTGAAAATGTTGAAATTTGAAAATTTTCGTAGTCGGAAAATTGGGAATTTGAAGGTTTGAGAATTTGAAAAACTAGAAATCTAGTAATTTGCGAACTCAATCATTTGAAAATGTGAAGATTCAGAAATTTGGGAGCTTGAAAATTTGGAAATTTAGAATTCGGAAAATCCAGAAATTTGACAATACGGGAATTTGGAGATTTGAGAGTCTAAAAATTTTGAAATTTGTGAACTGAAATATTTGGGTTTTAAAAATTGGGGAAGTACAGAAATTTGAGAGTATGCAAATTTGAATATTCGTCAATTTGAAAAATTAGAAATTTGTAAATTTGAGAATTTGGAGATTGGAGAATCCGACAACTTAGAAATTTGAAGACTTGAAAATTAAAAAATTAAAAAATCCATCAATCCAAAAATTAAAAAATCTTAACATTCAGAAATCCGAGAAACCACAAACTTAAAAATTAAAAAATTTCTAAGTCTCTAACACGAGATATCGCAATTATCTTCCATCTGACTTTATAGAAGGGGTCTAGTCTACCTAGTTACTGTTTATACAAGAACCTAATCTCGATACAGATATGCTTGAACGAAAGCTTTAAACGAAGCAAGAGACATTTTCTTGTTAAGATAAATTAGAGCAGATACTCACCCTCGATAACGGGACGCTGGGGCCTGTAGGACATGTCTGAAAAGAAAAATGGCGGATATTAGTAAAATTAGTCACGACACGTGCGTACATAAATAATACTTGGCAAGTTAAAAATGTTAGCTTTAATGAAGCAAGCACAGCATAGCACTCTTTAACCTAATACTTGTTCGGAAGAATGTTACCGTCATATTTACAGTACAAAAAGGAAAAATGATTTTGTCATTAAGAAAATTAATGTTGGACAAGTTTTCTTAACAGGATAACGTCTTTCGAGGAAGTTTGTGTGCTTGTAAACTTTCCTCAAGTTGGACGCGTACAACAGTTTTACGCCCCCAGTGTTGGGACGCAAGTATTGTAATTTCACCCCTTAATCGTTCAAAATTATATATCTTTAATACTCTCCCCTTAAAAAGAAAATCGATTGCAATAACTTCACTGTACAGAGCTACTGCAAAAATTCTCTTCGTGCGTAAACAAATGTTAATATTAAAAATTGCAGTCATTTCGTATCGCTGTATTTCTTTTATTTTTGTTTAAGGACAACGTTTTATGTAAAATTTTTTAGTAAAACTTGCTACGAATTTTATTTCTGCGGTAATATTGGCCAGTTATAAAATGCGACGTAAAACAAGTGATATGAAAATGAAAATTTGTGGAACACGTATTGTGAATATTTCTAGTTTTGGAAGCAATTGCAACGAAATTTTCGAAGCTTATGCATGGTTATTGTTAACTTATCTTTATTTTATGGATATGCATTTTTGCTACAATCTGTTAATAAGTTACCTCCATAATAATATTTTGATTAAAAATGTTTTACGAATTCTAAAATATTAAGCGAGGAAATTGTGTCATAGCTGTACATGTTTTTGTGCATTCATGTTGCTTCAGTTAATAACTTATTTAATAAAAATGTTTTATCGATCATAAAATACTAAATCAGAATATTGTGTTAAAAACTGTGTAAATTTTTGTACACATATTTTCATACATTTGACGAGAAGAAAATAATATTAACTTGACGTGTTATTGCTCCAGTTAATTTACCTCAATAATAATATTACGATGAAGAATGTTTTACTGATCATAAAATATTAAACCAGAAAATTGCGAAAATTTCCGTACATATATTTTTATAAATTTAACCAGAAAAATACAATATGAATTAAAATTTCTCCGTACATAATAATTTTTAATTTCATATTTTAAAATTCATATCCGAAAATTATGCACCACAAGGTTGCATATAAAAAAATTGCGCTGTAAGAGTGGAACACTTACTTTTTTTCCGTGTTCTAAATCCCTGTCAATTACAACGTACCGGCTGATTGTAAAATAACGCAGCGCTCTTTGATGGTTGTAGTACGCTTTAGAATTTGCCGGGGCAACTTGTAATTATTTAGAACGTCATACGTTCCGACACGACGAACGCCGAGCGTCTTCATTAAAGAACAAGCCTGGAAAGGATAATTAAAAGTTTCACAGGGGAACGTTGCTGGATGGTTAGGGGATGTTGCGCGACTAGGGAACCCTGAATTTCCCTGTTATTTGCTCCACGAAATTGCCTCGACCCGTCTTTCTGCCCTGCCCTCGATACGACCAAGTCTCTTCCCTTCCTTGAATTTCGTTGTTCGAGAAACCTCGGATCGAGCTGATCCGTGTCTCAGACGTTAATTACGGTTGTCTTCGAAGCTACGACAAAGTCGACGAAAGTTTGCAAGCACGACGAATAAGATACACTTTGATTTTGTCAAGAAGCGAACTCGTTTTCGCGATGATGCCGAGATGGTACAGCCTCGAGTAAAAATAACACGAAAATCGACAACTCTTCGCTATAAGATCAACTGAAATTTCTACAACGCGTTAACCTCGTAAGCATGGCGCACTTTACGTGGTGCTGCTTCTCTGCAGGGTTCGTTGTGAGTAGAGAACCGTTTTACGAAATTAAACGGTTCTTGCTAAATTCTGATCGCTTTCTTCGTCGGACCACTTCTTTTAACATTCAGCAAATATATTCACCGGAGAAATCGGTCTTCTTATGGCATCGAATGTTTCGAACATTACAAGTTAAACTCTTAAGCTGTACATTACGTTGCTTCTCTGTACGACAGAGTTCGACACGAATAATACGTAAACAGCACAATGTGTGACAATGCTGTTTACGCGAGTACGTTGGAACGAAGTTTTTAATGATTAAATTATAATTTTTCCAAAGATATGATACATGTACTTTAACTTTGATAATTTACTTTTTAGAAAATTCACAAGAATTTCCAAATGTTTCCAATGTATTAGTGCGAAGAGGTCCCATAGTGCCTAAACTACTCGGCGTTACCTTTTATTTACATGTAATGTACTTTCGCGGGATTTGTTGATACTCTTATAAAACGTGGTGAAGGTAAAAAAGTGCGAATCAAAACGTATGAAAACGATCATTCAATTGAAACGGTGAGCGAGTGAGTCAGTAGAGTGAGTTGTGGCGCTATGTAATCTACGATGACAAATTTACGGTGACATTCACGAAAGCCACTATAGTGAGCCGTCGTGTAGAAAGATGGTGTCCGCAAAAGCCACTATGATAGTGCGTCTAAGAGGTTAAACTTTGTAAATTAATGTGAACTGATACTTGAAAGTTCTAAATGTAGAAAATTCATATAAATTGATGCTTTAACGTTGTAAACGTTGAAAACGAATAAAAATTTATATTTATATACTTTGAACATTGAAAACCAATGTAAAATGAAACTTGAACATTGTAAACCTTGAGAAATTGTAAATTGAAAGATTGTAAACCTTGTAAACATTTTGTAATTTTTAACGAAAATTAGCTAATAAAAAGTTAAGAAGAAATTATTTTATAATAAATTAACTTAAGGAAACTCGCTACACTAAAGTAACGACGGGATTGATTTAACGTTTATGTAAATCACGCGTTACGTCGGAAAACGATAATTCTTGCAATTAAATGTGCGTTACGGTCCGAGGATTTTTTTATGCTGAAACGGTTTTGTTATAACCCGGAGAATATATTATGGCGGAAATATCGCTCGTTCGTCACCGAGTAATTCATCACGCATATGCATTTACGGTAATCTACACTCGTACGCGGCACACCGGGGAAAAATGGCTTTCGAGGGTCGAACAAATGTATTCGAAATCTGCAACCTCCTGTTCGAACAACGAACGAGTGGCCGTGTTAAAATGAGAGGAAAAACGTAATGCAAAGATCAATAAAACAGGAATACCGTTTTTAATTCTATCAAATTCGTTTTGTTCTTTCGCTTCCTCTCTTTTGTTTCTTCGGTACTCCCTCGACGATTTAATGCGGTAACAAAATGTTTAGCAAAGGATGATAAAAATTATTTATTACCTACTTAAAGTCTCGAAAACATGTACGATAAATATATAAATTAAAATATAAATATAAAAATTCCTATAGAATATAAAAATTCCGATCCTCAACAAATATAATCCTACACAAGTTATTTTAACCTTAACAAGTTTAAGCAGTTGTTATTTTCAATAAATATAAAGAGAATTTATTTAGATAACAGTATCATCACGAAGACTAAGATTTGAGAAGGTATTGGTAGTTGATCAAATAACGAGTTAACTCGACGAAATAAAAGCAAAAATATTGTACAAGAATATGCATTCGTAAACATTCGGAATTTATTTATAAACCAAAATGGATTCTATTGAATAAACGACTCATACATATTTCAGAATCAAATTTATGCATTTTGATACAGTGGTGCATTTGAAAAGAGCAATTACATTTTTTGCTGCGTTCGAACTTCATATATTCGACTGCGTTCAATTTTTCGTTATTTACAATAGCAATAAATCGAAAAAACCTATGCGGTGTATATTTCTGAAAGCTGCAAGATTCTATAAAACAAGTAATAACATGTTTCCCGGAATACAGCGAATAGGAACAATAGCGTGTGATGCATAGTGCTCAAAAAAATTCCTCGTTAAATAACTTTTTAATGAAAGCGTTTGTGCAAATTACGGCCATTACAGACAAATCGTTCTTCATACTTTCCCGCGAATTTACTGCCGGAATATTTGCAAAATGATGCGAAACCTTCTGAACTTCTGAACAAATAATATTTCCATTAGAGAAAATCTTCTCCTATTTGTTCGAATTATAAGTTTCAACTTCGAAATTAAAAACTCTTGTTAATATCAAAAAATCCATGTTAATCTCCGATTTCATTAGCTTTTAATTTGAATTAATCATCTCGTCTACAATTTTCAAGTGATTTCATTTTCAGTTGAATTCATATTCAATGGGAAATTATGCAATGAATTAGTACTCGATTAAATTAAATTTGCGACCTCTTTATATGAAAATGTTTAATTTCATAAAAATTAATAAAAATTAATGAGAAATAAAATCATTTTTATTCTATAAGGTTTAGAAGACCATATTTTACTTACAGATTTTATCAAAATTATTTTCATTGATAAGTAAGGTAACTCTTAAATGCATCATTTTTGTAAAAGCAAGGAAAAAATAATGAGAACTGATTACGGAAATAATGAGGACTGATATTACCTCTGTAACTTCATGCATGTATTCAGTACGATATACGATGTATGAAGTACGATGTATTTTGAAACAGTTCTCATTGCAGCAGATAAAATGTATGTTGCAATACTGCAACATTATATGCATATGCAACCTACACATAAGGTTCAACTTACTATTATAAGTATATTAATTCACTATTACTACGTTTCAATAAAAACAGTTCTGAATTCTAACAACTCTTATAAAATGAACCCCACTGAATACCACAGTAATGAAAAAGTAAGCAGAGGTAATAAATTTCGTCGCAAGGTTAACAATTAGTAAACTGTTTATACTTTTATGAAGTAGAACCGATAGGAGCATCGCGTCGCAGCCAGGTTGATCCATGAAAACGATTCGCTGCAGCTTATATGAAAAAATTACCAGGGGACGTAAAAGAAGCTTCTACGGTAGAAGTAGATCGCAGGGACGCATGTAGTTTGGCTTTGTAGAGGTT